ATACGGCGTTGAAACTTCAAATAAGAGCGCAATACAACCCGAAACATACCTGAGGCCCCCGGGACCTCAACCAAAAGCACCAACGCATCTTAAAACATTATTCAAACTTGTTCCAATCCTCAAAACACCTCAAACAACACCAAAACCATCAAATTACATCGAATTCAAGCCTAAGTTCTTCTAAAACTTCCAAAACACGCATTCGATCAAAAACCCAACCAAACCACGTCCGGATGATCTGAAATTTTGCACACATATCCCAAATCACCAAACGAAGCTACAGTAACTCTCGAAATTCCATTCCGACTCCCGGATCAAAATCTCACCTATCAACCGGAAATCGCCAAAATACTAACTTCGCCAATTCAAGCCTAATTCTACACCGGACCTCCAAAACTACTTCCGATCACATTCCTAAGTCACAAATCACCTCCCGGAGCTAACGGAACCATCAGAGTTCCATTCTGAGGCCGTCTTCACACTGTTCCGACTACGGACCACTTTCGAATACTTAAGCTCTCATTTAGGGACTAAGTGTCCCAAAACTCTTCGAAACTTGACACCGAACATCCCGGCAAACCAAAATAGCGGAAATGAACTTAGGGGAAATAATTAATAGGGGATCGGGGTGTAAATTTAAAAAACGACCAGCCGGATCGTTACAGATAAAGGAAAAAAGGTACAAGAAAATGAATTGATGACAAATCCTCACTCTGTACCCCTCCCTTTTCCCCAAAAGATGAAAAGAGAAAATCTTGACAAACAATTTTCAAAGTTCCTGGATATTTTAAAGCAACTCTACATTAACATACCTTTCACAGAAGCTTTGACACAAATGCCTTCATATGCTAAATTTCTCAAAGAAATTTTGTCAAGTAAAAGAAAATTGGAAGAAGTTTCAGTTGTTAAGCTTACAGAGAAATGTAGTGTTATACTTCGAAATAAGCTTCCACAGAAACTTGGCGACCCAGGGAGTTTTACAATTCCTTGTACTGTGGGAGGTGCTCACTTTGAAAAAGCATTATATGATTCGGGTGCTTCAATAAATCTAATGCCTTTCTCAATTTTCAGGAAATTAGAACTTGGTGAAATGAAAGATACTGGTGTGTCTCTTCAATTAGCTGATCAAAGTACTAAAAAGCCCAAAGGAATAATTGAAAACGTCCTCGTTAGAGTAGATAAATTTGTATTCCCGGTAGATTTTATAGTACTTGAAATGGAAGAAAATACTGAGGTACCATTAATTTTAGGTAGACCATTTCTCGCAACAGGGAGAGCGTTCATTGATGTTCATCAAGGACAATTAATATTGCGAGTTGATGAGGAGAGAGTAATTTTTGATATGCAGAAAATGATGAAATTTCCTAGGAATGAGTCATCATCATCTTGTTTTCAAATTGACTTACTAGATGACCTTGTAGATGAATTCAAGGATGATCAATTAATTACTGATTCATTAGAAAGATTCTTGGTCAGGTCAGGTACCACAATCAAAAAAGAAGCCGAAACACTAGAAAAAGATTCAGAAAATGAGAAAATCTCACCAGAAGAAGTTCAACCGAAAATTGAACTCAAAACTCTCCCTTCTCATTTGAAATATATCTTTCTTGAACCTGAATTATTTTCGGTAGTTATTTTATCGTCTTTAACTGCAGAACAGGAAATAAAACTAATTAGAGTTTTAAGAGAACACAAAAGAGCATTAGGGAGGACTATAGCTGACATCAAAGGAATCAGTCCAGCTATTTGCACACATAGGATCCTTATGGAGGATAATTACAAGCCAATAGTCCAGCCCCAAAGGAGACTTAATCCAGCAATGCAAGAAGTTGTCAAGAAAGAAGTAGTGAAACTTCTAGCGGCAGGTATCATTTATCCAATATCTGATAGCCTTTGGGTAAGTCCTGTACAGGTAGTACCAAAGAAAGGAGGTATGACCGTAATAATAAATAAAAATAATGAACTCATACCCACAAGAACAGTCACAGGATGGAGAGTTTGTATTGATTATAGAAGACTTAATGATGCCACGAGGAAAGATCATTTTCCTTTGCCTTTTATTGACCAAATGCTTGAAAGAGTTGTAGGCCATAGTTTTTATTGTTTTCTTGACGAATATTCTGGGTATAATCAGATACCAATTGCTCCAGAAGATCAGGAGAAAACCACATTCACATGCCCCCAAGGTATGTATGCTTACAGAAGAATGCCATTTGGACTATGTAACGCTCCTGCTATATTTCAGCGTTGCACGTCGGCAATATTTTCAGATATGACTGAAAAATTTCTTGAAATTTTCATGGATGATTTCACACTCTTTGGTAAAACATTTGAAGATTGTCTTTATCATCTAACTTTGCTGCTTAAAAGATGTGAAGAGACAAATCTAGTTCTTAATTGGGAAAAATATCATTTTATGGTGACCGAGGGAATTGTTTTAGGACATAAAGTTACTGCTAAAGGAATAGAAGTTGATAAGGCTAAAATTGATCTTATAGCAGGATTACCCCCTCCTACCACTGTTAAAGGCATTAGAAGTTTCTTAGGGCATGCAGGTTTTTACAGAAGGTTTATAAAAGACTTTTCAAAAAATTTTAAACCTCTGACTAACCTACTGATGAAAGATGTGAAGTTTGAATTTTCAGATGATTGCAGAAATGCATTTGAGTTTCTCAAGGAACAATTGACTAATGCTCCAATTGTTGTTTCTCCTGATTGGAGCCAGCCATTTGAAATAATGTGTGATGCAAGTGATACAGCAGTACGAGCAATATTGGGACAAATGAAAAACAAGATCTTTAGACCCATATACTATGCCAACAGAACACTCAATGAAGCTCAAATGAATTATGCAACAACCGAGAAGGAGTTATTGGCAGTAGTATTTGCATTTGACAAATTTCGTTCTTATTTGATAGGAACAAAGGTTACAGTGTTCACTGATCATGCAGCCTTAAAGTATCTATTAGCAAAGAAAGATGCTAGACCTAGATTGCTAAGATGGATACTCCTTTTGCAAGAATTTGATCTCGAAATAAAAGATAGAAAAGGTTCAGAAAATCAGGTAGCTGATTAATTGTCACGTCTAGAGAATCCTCCTACTGAAATACTAGATATCCAAGAGGAATTTCCTGATGAGCATATCTTTCCTCTCGCAAGGTTGTAAAT